CCCGGGTAGCGTCCCCATATGAGAAGGCGTTCCAGTGGAGACTCCAAGGCGCATCGGCACAGGAGAATGGCCCTGTTATAGCCGAGGATGAGCTGGTATGGAAAGATGTGGTATGCCAAGAGCTCTGGCACGAGGCCTTGGAGCAGTCTCAAGCTCAAAGGGGAGAGAGCCTTCGCAGTTCAGATCTGCACAGACAGAGGCAAACAGTGCTGAGGTTGCCTTTACTGGAGGATCTGCGTGGATTATAGAATTCCAGCATCTGATCAAGAAGGAACTGTGGCTGGACGAGGCATACTGGCAACTACGGTGCTACTCTGTCCAAAGGTGCCCATGGAGGATGGAGAACAAAAGACCAGAGGGGGATGACTATGATGGCGTGGTCTGCTATGGGAGGCATTGGAGGAGGACAGTGATTTCGGCAGCCCAGAGAAGTCTAGGTATTGGGACATTCGGGAATACCGTATGGACGCACTGGAGCTCAAGAAGCAGTCCCTCAGGAATGGGGCATATATGATTTCATAACATGGGCGAATCATGTGAGTGAGACATTGTGATGTCACTACATGGGGTGGGAGGCAGCAAATAATTTTTTTTTCCTAGGGCGGCAAAAATCCTTGCACCGGCCCTGATCTCCTGCAATACCATTTGTCACATACAAGGCATTGCATACTGCTGTAGAAGAGAAGACTTGCAGTATGCTCAGAGCCCTCACTACTTCATCTTCATGGTTGTTAGAAGGCTATAGAAAGGCTTCATGTATAGTGTGCTGGGCTTTGTCAATGACAGCCTCTCCACAGAAATGCAGAGGGACGCATGAAGCCCCGGAAGAGAAATTACCTCTGTAAGGTGAAGATTGGCAGTAAGGTAAAAGTATGTGGGATGTTATTAAATTTGGAAATGTTGCAAGAGAAGGGGATAATTGTTTTAGGTACAATGCATGCAGTCTTTGCACACTAATTATTAATGTATTTTCCCAAATGACCTGACCACCTCAAAATTAGTCTCTATATTATTTGGCCACACAAGACAAATAAAAAAATATTTTCATTTGTGAGGCATAGGTTACAAGTAAAACATTTGGCTTTCCTTACCAGTAAAAATTGATTTACCATCTTCTAATCCTTGCATCTTCGAAGCTCAATGTTCTTAAAATATCTCCCTTCACACAGAAGAGCTACTGTAGCTCAAATTGCTGAAAATTGTAATGCTGGCCCATAATAGAAAGATGACACCTGTCCTCCGCCGAAAGTGCCTTTAGTGCCCATGATGACACCTGTCCTCCGCCGAAAGTGCCTTTAATGGGGCGTTAGCGTCAGAACTGGACCATGGAGCAATGGAAAAAGGTTGCCTGATCTGATGAATCACATTTTCTTTTAGAACAGGTGGATGGTCAGGTGGATGTGCGTTGTTGCCTGTGGAAGAGATGGCAGCAGGTTGCACTATGGGAAGAAGGCAGGCCAGCAGAGGCAATGTTAGGCTCTGGGCAATGTTTGACACATTGATACAACACTGTATCGGACCTTTTTTTTGACATATTGTCTCTAATTTAATTAACGCTGTACAGCAAACTTAGAGGGAATCTCTTTTAGAAGCCAATTAGGTGATTCTCTTGGGGCCTGGTAATGCATTTCCCCTAGACACGGCTTTATATTGCTTTGGCGAGTTTATTAACTTAGTCTAGTTTTTTTTTTACTTATTTGTTATATCTCTTTTTTTCCTTAATCTCTATTTTCTGTGCTCTTAGTTTGAACTGCCGTAATTGACTTTGGATTTAGTCAGGCAGTCATAGCCAGGGTTTGTGTGTCCTTTTTGTTTTTGGTTGGATTGATAAAGTATCTTCTAGATTTTTACTCATCACTAGTTTTTAACTGTATGTTATATTCGATAGCGTTAGTTGGAACAGGTTTCCGCCTTCCCCCCTTTTTTCTTCATCTCTAATTACTTCAATATCTCCATGTCTCCCCACCCGTAATGGTGTTTTTTGTTTTTTCTAACCCCAGACTTTATATTTCAGATTGGGCCCCAAATAACAGCATTGATTAGCAACCCCCAGTACTCACAAGCAACCAAGCACTGCAGAAAAGCCTAGGCAGAGGTGTCATCTCTGGAAGGCTCTCTCTAAAACTGAGCTCCTTGTCTTTCCTCCTCCAAATACTGATCCTTCTCTTTCGCTCTCCCTTCAAGTTAGTGGTATCCACATAAGTTCGTCCTTGCAAGCGTGCTGTTTTGGCGTCATACTTGATTCTGGCCTCCCCTCTGAGCCTCACATCCAGAATGTTGCAAAATCCATCTTAAAAACATAGGCAGTTTCTTACACAAGATGCTACCAAGGAGCTTATCCATGCTCTAGTCATTTCCTGCATGGATTATTTTAACCCTCTCCTAATTGGTCTTCCCAAAAGCCGTATTGCCCCGCTATAGTCTGTAACGAATGCTGCCGCAAGACAGATTTTCCTCTCTAGTCAGTCCTCTCACACATCACCCCTCTGTCATTCCTTACATTGGCTTCCTGTATGCTATAGGAGTCAATTCAAAGTACTAACCCATACCTATAAAGCACTGACCAATTCTAGTCCCTCTTATATCTCTTCACAGATCCATAGGTATGCCCCTTCTCGGTCTTTCCGCTCTGCCCGTGACCTTCTCCTCTCCGCTGCTCGCACCTGTGTGGCCAACTCACGCTTGCAGGACTTCTCGCAGATGGCTCCCTTCCTATACTATAGCCTGCCTACTGCCATCAGACTCTTCCCTAGTCTTCAATGGTTTAAGAAGTGCCTTAAAAACCATCTCTTTAAGAAAGCTTATGGCCTCCCAAAGTAACCTTTACCTTACATACCTGTCTCTTGCTCTCTCCTCCAGCTCTGCTTCACTACCTTATTTGATTGCTATTTTCTCTCCTAATGTGTTTTATACCTCACCTCCTATAGTTGTAAGCTCATTTGAGCAGAGTCCTCTTCAATCTATCATTCCTGTAAGATTTCTTGTAATTGTAGTATTTATAGTTAAATCCTACCTCTCATAATATTGTAAAGTGCTACAGAATCTGTTCGCACTATATAAATGGCAATAATATATGGTGTGGTACCATATAATTTCACTCTTAATGATTCTAAATATAATTTATTTTAGACTTGTGTCTAAATAAAATGCTGCGGTGGGTCCCATAATATTATTGGTTGCCCATGCATGATCTAGGTTTCAAGAAAATTAGGATATGCGACCAACTTTTACATTCAGTGGAGACAGATTTACTATGTGGTCTATGGGCACATTTTACTATTCAATTACCAAATATTTATTTAAGTCTTGACTCAAACAAGAAGTTTGCAGCCTAAATGGAAAGCATGCAACCTGTTTATATCTTGTATACTTTCAGTAGGACTTCATGGTTATATAGGTATGGTGCAAATTCGGCTGAGGATACTTAAATTTTGCATTTAAATGCAGAAATCAAATTTCTATTTGGGACTATTTTATCTTTGTTGGCGCAGCCCTACTTCATTTCTTTGTATTGCTTTCTCGATCTGTCGAAGGATTTGAGGAGTTTCCTTCGTTTGGGATGCTGCCTATTTACATATTGTATGTTAATTAGCACTGACTTCCTGTTGTATTGTGTACACCAATATACGCCTGAAGAAGTATCTAATATATTATCCAACAAAAAATATCTATTATGTTCTATATATTTATGATTTCCTTAATTTTCTAATAGGGAATCCCTAAGTTTCCAAGTTGTTCTATTTAAGGACAGGAAATCACTATCCAAACCCATTTACAAAATGCTGTGATCAGACCATGTATTATCAATGATTTCTATTCTTTTAACCTTATCTACCAACATGTGATTGCCCCAAATCATGTCGATTCTCGAGAGTGGTGAAACCTGGAGAGATGAGTAAACTCTTTATCCTTGGGGTGAAACACCCTCCATATATCAAACAGGTTGTTTAAATTAAGAGTATTTGTTAGAGATTTTGCTTTTTTTTTAATATGCATCTACTAATAGTGGTTCCTGCTGGTATTTTTTTTTTTTTATCCTGAGTTGGATCCAGGATTAAGTTATAATCATCTGCTATTACAAGAATACCCTCCTTTACTTCATCTACCTTTTCTAATATTTCCTTTAATATAGTTATTGGGGCAACATTTGGAAGATATAAATTCACTAAAGTATACTTAATGTTATTTATTTTAGAGACCAAAATCATAGAGCGACCATCTTTATCTAAGAATTTGTATAGAATCTCTACCTGTAGAGTATTAGATAATAGGATATTTACTCTGCATTTCTTTAGGCATGAACTACCAATGGAAATCCATTTGGATTCCATTGATGTTTATTCATTAATCTCCAGTCGGTCTCCTGGAGAAAGCATAAATCTACATTTGCTCTTCTCAAGTGATTTAGCACCATTAATCTTGGTGAGTTAAGACCCTGCACGTTTACAGATATCAATTTAACCATACTTCCCCCTGTTTAAATTCCACTCTCTGCTGCTACGCATACAACATAGAATACAAACAAAATTATCTACAATTTTCTCATAAACATAAGGAGGGCCTATTAGGACCTCTTGCTCTATTTTTTCTGGACAAGAATCTAATAAGATTTTTTCCAGATTTTTACTTCGCATGAAGCATACCATGCAAATTAACGAAATCCCAACAGTGCTGCATGTGCACCATTAAAGAATGTTTTAAGTGTACACGCCATCATATTATTTCCCTGCAGATAGCCAAGCATCAAGAGCAGACGGTGTTGTCCTGTACACAGAAATGTTGTGGATGTACGGAGTATAAACGTGGGGTGAGGAAATCAGGTTAAGTCACTTTTAGACAAGTGATACTTCATTTTTAGAATTATTAAAACACCATGTACTTTTCAGATTCAGAAAACTACTTTTTTTTTTTTTTTTTTAAACGTTATTACTTTATGTTCAATAGTTTAGAATGAAAAGTCAAAGGTTAAACTATTCTTCATAAATGCCTTGAACTGTAGCTGGAGGGCCAGGTTTACCAAGATGCAATTGCAAGCCGCTAATTGAAACACTGATATAAAATTCCGTGGATTTCAAGTAGACTACAAACCACATCAATAAACAATGGTTACAAAAGAGCAGGTTTTAATATAGACATATGAAAAGTAACAGTTTCAAAACCATAGAAAGAACAATTTCATGTATCAATGACAGCTGCTAAAATACAGCTTTGGTTTTGGCATTATAGTTTCTCCAATAGATAAATGCCAGTATTTAACAGTAACGTACAGTTAATGTCCTAACAAATGGTTCCAGCACATGAAAGTATCTTGTTCGTTATGTACAAAGCAGTTATTTTGTCAAGGGAAGTATTATATAAAAATAAGTTGAAAATAGTCCTGTTACTTTTAGAAACCCCCTAATGGTACACAAAATATCAATTTTAAAATACTGAGTATCAGTGGGACATAAGAGATGATCTGTGGGAGCTCCTGGAGTGCAGGGAGTGTTTTGAGCGGCTTTCATGCTTTTTTGATCTGTCCTCATCCCTGTCCTTGTGATGTTTTCTGTCGGTTGATTCTTTGCGTCTACCTTCATTGGATTGTTTTTTTGGAGGTTCCTTTTGGGAATGCTTACTTTTCTTCTTCTGTGAAGTCTTTTTTCTCTTAGGGGAATCTAAATTAAAAAAAAAAAAAAAACGTATTTTTTTAATAATGAAAACAACAGACACACAAGAACCATGCCTAATACAGCTTAACCCCTTAAGGACACATTATATGTGTGACATGTCATGATTCCCTTTTATTCCAGAAGTTTGGTCCTTAAGGGGTTAATGAGATTAAGATACTGCTTTTTAAACATTTACATTTGAAGATGTTTGTTTTGATAAAAAAATAATAAAAAAAAATCAAAGGTGCCATGACTCCACCCACTTCACACTGACATTATAAGGGAAAGCATGGATTCCGTCCTAGATCTTTTCGGGTGTGTTCACACATTGCTTTCAAAGTCAGCCATCTTCACTTTGTAGAATCTGTGCTGTGCTGTGCTGGGAGCAATGTCTTGCCATACACACATCACACTTCTTGCAAGTGAAAAGGTTGCACACTTCTTGCAATTGATGCTTTTCCTTTACAAACAATTTAATCGTTGAATTGGAAAAAAACATTGCTTCCTCATATGCTATAAGTGGGAAGAGGGAGATTAAGCAGAAAAAAAAAAGTTAAAGGGACACTATACGCACCTACGCCACTTAATCTCATTGAAGTAGTCTTGTTGCAGTGTCCCTATCCCCTTAGCCCTACAATGTAAAACATTGTAGTTTCAGAGAAACTGCAATGTTTATATTGCAGAGCTAAGGTTGCCTCTGGCGGCTGTCTACTAGACAGCCATTAGAGGTACTTCCTGCCGTTTCACGGAGTTAAACTCAGTGAACTTATGCTGGACGTCCAACAAAACTCCATGGGCAAAGCACTTACTCAATGCTTTCCTATGGGGAATGCCTAATGCTTGCCGCGAATGCGCATTATGTTCCCCCTCACTATGACGTCTAAGGAGACATAGCCAGCACCACGGGACTTCACCACTGGAATAGTGATTAGGATGAGAGGGACACTATAGTGTTAGGTATACAAAGCTGTATTCCTAACATGAAAACGTTCCTTTGAGGAATTAAAAATCAACACAGTAGGTACAACTTGCTATATAAAAAAAACAACAACACTGTAATAAGCTATAGTGGTTATCGTGTCTGTGGGCGTCTCAAGAGCAGTTTGTATTACCAAACTTGAAAAGGTTAACTTGATTAACATCAAACACATAAAAGGCTAAGTCGACATAGCGGGGTATCAAAGCCTGTTGCCCTATGAGTTGATAAATTATGTAGCTGTGGCCCAGAACTTTTAACTATTTCCTGCCATATAAAACGTTTTGTCATCTGAATGAATGTCTTTACTAGAAATTTAAAATAAAGCAAGGATTTTTTTTTATACCCAAAAAGATTACATAAATAAGTACAATAAGGTATAGTTATGTTAATGGATACCAAAAATATAGGTTATATATTAACATCTTTATCCTTAATCTTAATGATATTTAAAACATACAAAAAAAATATCCCTACACAATGCAGAATATAGCTACATACTGCACAATTCCACTCAGGTTCACAGTAAATTTATGCAGTGAACATATCCCCTCCTGGAAAAATAATTCTGCAGTTGTACGTAGCAGGGCTGCAACAAAATAATTTTCAAAATGCAGACATTATGTGAGACCTTCAACCACTGCAGTATATTACCATTAAGAAGTCTCAATATGTCTACCACTGCAGTAACGTTATAAATCAAATTAATCTCAAATCAGCCAGATCCCCTAAATACAGAAGTTCATGCTGTTTTATCATCTGCTCTCTAAACAATCTGAGTAAAAGGCACGTTGGATATTTGAATAAGGCTGTGAAAGCACTTCTCTAAAATTACCAACGCTCTTAATGCCAATATAGGAATGCAGAAAGGAGAAGTAAAATAAAAAGCAATTTTTAGCATTCACTGATCAAAAATTCATACGACAGCATTTCTGCAATAATCTTTGCTCTTAAATTCTAAGAAGAAGATACTTCCCTAGTAAATAAGATTATGACAAATGTAATATCTTGACTAGTGATTTTTAAGGACTTTGCAATTTTAAAATAGGGCTCTCATCTGCAACATCCACTAGATCAGAATTTTATGGAGGGGTTTGGGGGTCTTTAGAATTTGAAAATCACATGTCTGGTGATTATAAGGAAGCTCATCACCCCAAAAGTGACTTATAGCACAATTGTCCCTTTAAAACTATTTCTTAGCATAATAATCATTTCATGAAGTTTTAAAAAGGATATACGTTTGTTTTTACATGAAGCATATGCAAAAGAGTCAGAAAAACTAATCCTAACTTTTAGTATATGACAGGATATTTCAACCATATACATGCACCTTGGGTCAGACAATGAGTGGAAAAAAAAAAAAAATACAATCTCTGTGGTCCCACCTTGCTTCACTCCATGTAGACTGTTTTCAAACACTGTCTGTCCAAAGGTGCATGTATATGGCTGAAGGATCCTGTCATATACTAAAGATAGGGAGGAGGTTTTTTTTTTTTTTTTTTTTACATATACTTCATTTAAAAAAAAATATTTCCTTTCAAGACTTGATGATTCTATAATTATAATAAAAAATAGTTTTAAGGTGACAGTTGTTCTTTAAGAAGCCCTGTACAATTACTGAAATTGGGTAAGTGGCCTTTGAGGTGAAAACAATAGAAGCCATGGTAACACCATATGCAAGTTAACAAAATCACGAGAGGTTAGGCATCTTCTTTTGCTATTAACAACTATAAAGACAAGCCAGAGCCCCTTTTGTATGCAACCATTTACTATTATTATTATTATTAATATTTTACTATGCTAAGAGAGTTTGGACAAGGGTACGATAGTGCATATATTAAAACATTATACACACACACACATAAATTAACAAGGGAAGGTATATTTAACTTGACATTTATTTCCAAGTACGTCATGGACACACATATAGATAAAATACCTGAGTCACCCCCACTGGATGAACTGCTGGAACTCGCGGAGCTAGAGCTACTGTCTGAGTCAGAAGAAGAAGAAGAAGAGGAGGAGTCTGAATCGGATGCAGAACCGTGGGATGAGGAATCCGAAGAGTCTACATTCTGCTTTTGAGTCATTATTATCTTGGGTGCATTCTTCAGATGTTCACGTAGCTCATCGCTGCATTAAATAGTAGAGAACATGTCATTTTACTAAGATGAATAACACAATTCAAGCAGATTTTAAAAAAAAAATTTAAAAAATGTTTTATTCCAAACTTACGTTAATCCTCCAAGGCCAATTGATGTGAAAAAGTTGATAGCAAAGCGGGTGTTTTTTGGGTTGTCCATTGGCAGTAATCCTTGGAAGAAAGGCTGGAGAGTCCTAAAATACATAATTGCAAGAATAATCATTATTAAAGCCTATATTACAGAACTGCCATTAATACTACACTGCTAAAACTAGTATTTTAAGTAGGAGCTTGTGTTCATAATTTGATCTTAATTAAAAGAATATTCTGTTGAAATCAAAATAATATTTTAACCATTTAGCAGATTACGCCGGAAAGAAAACAATGTATTTACTTTTTGCATGTTTTCTTTGTGGATACATGAAACATTAGCTTGACATATAAGCAGATCTAGTATCTGCAGCTTCTGCAAACCCTCCCATTTTTACCCTGCAGAGACTTTCAGTGGAGGCAGACTGTCAAATCAGAATTGAAGGCAGGCACTGTCTAGCTAAACACCTGCCTCATCTAAATTTAGTAGAGCTAAAGGAGGCGGGACAGCTAAGGAGGTGATACATAAATGTGGCAATTTTTGTATTGAAATCGGCACTTTTATAAATTGAAAAGGCGGAAGAATTCCTTAGTCAGTTAACTCTATTTTCGCGTTGTATCGTTATTGTTGAGCTTATTCACCAATTAATATTTTGCTCTGATATGAGAAAAGCAAAACTGAAGAAAACCAAGGAAAAAAAACTAAACAAAATGCCAACTTAGTAATATAGTTGAGTTGCAGAATATTTTCATCAGTATTTTTACTTATGTTGAGATTTGTACAACCAAACAAATATTATTCCACGTGTTTTTGTGCATCCTAAATTTTTAAACAATGAATATAATATGTCTAAGATGCCGGTTTTCCTCTGCAATAAACATATTTCTACACAATCTAAAAAAATGTTAACACATTAATTTGGGAAAAATTACACAGTACTATCTGCAATATTAACAGGATTACATAAAATAGTCAGGAAAATGACCCATGCATGATAACTGCTGAGCAAAGGCTGTGCTGGAGCCTAGCACTATTAAAAAGTATAGAGGAACCTTCCCATTTAAACATGAAGATGGAGTGTAGGTGTTACTCAGTGAAACAGCAATACGCTGTATTCGTATGGAATGTAATCAATGCAGAAATGGGTAAGGTGTGGTGATGTGAATTTAAAAATCAAATAAAAAAAAATGACACGAGGAGTTATGAAAGTTATAATGTTAAAGCAATAACATAAAACTCAATTTTGCACACGATTCCTAATACTAAATATTACATTTTTATTTAGTATCTACCAATGTACATTCCGCCCTAGAAGGTAAAATAGTTACAGTTCAATGCTCTTTAAATACTTACAAATCCTTAAGTCTTGCATTTAGCTTCGGAAGTCCCATATATTCACATAGTTCCTGGAAGAATATTTTTACAAATATTCTACTAGAAGAGGTTGTAGTTTCTTCACTTAAATTTATACATTCTAATACCTGCATACAGGAGAAATTAGTGATAATTCTTAATTGGCAGTAAAGATAATTAAAAACTGTAATATATGACCCATGTAACAAACAAACTAAATGCACATGTTAAATATGTAATATGCAAGCCATATTCTACTCACCGGGGCTAAATTTGCACTTGCCTGTATACCTTATATACATACACAGACATTGGAAAAAAAGAAAATACATTCTCTTTGAATTCTGTTTATTAGCTTCTCTAAGATGATTATTGATGTACTTCCTCCTTGGCATTGTGTTAACACACCTAAATGCTGTAGGCCAGCAAACTTATAAAACTTTGGCTTTTATAGAGGTGGTCACACTTGCTGAAGATCAATGAATTAAGGGTATTTGATAAGCAGCATCAATAAACTTGTAAAGCAAACATGAGCAGCTTCGTTCATCTAAAGATTGATAAAGCTGCTCAGCAAGCACTCTGAAGTAACCTGTCCCGGTTCACTCCATAGGTGATATCCCCTTGTGCAGTACCATTGATCACCACTCACCCTGTTTGATGCTATTTTCTACATCTAGAAACATTAGCACCTTCAGCTGGCCCCTGTTAGGCCCCTTTATAGTCTGGCCTCACCCTTCCTTCTTGGCCAGATCATTGTTTAATTTTTCCTGTTGCAGTATAGACATTGCACCTTGTGGCTCTGTACCCTGTGGATCTAGCCTTGCATCCAGTGGCTCTGTATCTTGTGGCCCTGGCCTTGCATCCTGTCTATTTCCTATGCAACATACCTGGTCCTGCCCAGCGTACTCTATTTAACCCAGAAGGACTGTACCCTGAAACACAGCCCACACCTCCTGTGCTAGTCCTGGGTCTACTGTATGATTTATATTGTCACTGTATTACTACTGTATTTTGTTCTTTGGTTACCTTATATTATATTTGTATACTTCTTATAATAAAATTCCTGTCTGCATTCATTTCTTGTGGTTGTCCATTATTTTCTCTGCATATTGGGTTCCTATTCTTGAAGGGATTTGCTGTCATAGGTCAGCACCCCTTCATACCCTGACATAACCCAATTGTTGCAATTAGCTGGCTGAGTAGTTATATTCAAGTATTCCTAAGAAAGTGTTTTCATGAGATGAACTACCTAACAACCCATTGCATAGAATGTATTGCCTTTAAAGGAACTCTATAGTAGTAGGAATACAAACCTGCATTCTTAACACTATAATGCCCCGGTCCCTAGTTAGATATAGGTCTCCCCCCTATAAAGTTAACAATATAAAGGATTTAATTACTGTTCTTCATCGACAAGACTCTGTAGGTGCTTCTCACCTGCTGCTGCGTCATTGAGGAGGCACAGTCAGAGAGCAGCATTAGGGATCTGATGCGCTTACACAGCAAGCACCATGTGTGCATACAAGCTTCCTCATAAGAAAGCATTGTATTCAATGTTTTCCTATGTGACGTCACATGACTAGTTTTACCGAATCAGTGCAGTGGAAACCCATCTAGTGGTATATGTTTTACATAGTGACATATGTTTTACATTGCAGTGTTAAAAGGAGAGGGACACTGCACCGAGGTCACTTCAATGAGTTGAATTGGTCTGGGTGACATAAATATCCCTTCAAGAAGCCCACAACATTTGTTGCATTGATTAACGATTTAATTCTGTGTATGTGCATAAGAATCGCCAAATATAATGCAGTTTTAACATTATGTGTTTTGGTGGACTTTAATTACTAAAAGTCAACTATACACTCTTATAACATCTCCCAGAAGATACTCACACTCCATGGAATTGAATCTGTGTAGAGGAGATGGGCAAACATTTTTGCAACGTTTCTCAATTTGTTGGTTTCCAGTCGGTGGATGGTGTCATACTGTTCCTTGAAAATGGCTTCAAAAGATTCCATGTAGTCTTTCTTTAACAAACAGAAGCGCTGCAAAAACATACACAGAATAAATTAAATTGACAAAAACCTTATTAGCATAAAAATAGCACAGAGAGACGGAAAGACACACACACACCTGAGGAAGAGAAGAAAAGTTTGTCTTTTGAAGGGGCACTATAATCACCACAACAATCTCAGCTTAATGTAGTTGTTCTGGTGTGTCCTTCCAGGCTTTTTAATGTAAACACCGCCTTTTCTGAGAAATGTCTGTTTACATTACTGTCTAGTGACACCTCAAATGTGCAGCACTGGCATTCAACATCTCCATGCTATACATGGAGACGCACGGATTTAATGCATCTCTATGGGGAGATGTTGATTAGCACAGCGTAGAGTTTTACTGAGCATGCGCAATATCCTCCCAATGCTTTCCTATAAGAAATAATTGGATTGGCTGAGGACAGCAAGATCATCAAGAAATCCATTCTACATTACACACACCTATATATATCCCAAAACATGTACATTAGTATATTATTTCAGAGGAAAATAGTGGGTCCTTGGCTGTAATCTTCAAATTCTAAGAATAAATTCATTGATATGTAACACGAAAGTATAGCGAGTGAAAGAAAACCTCTAAATAACAAACCACAAACGAAAGACTTCATGGGTTAAAATTTAAAATGGAGCATAATCTTACCCCTGCAAGCAAGCCGAAGAACTTCTCATATGTTCTCTGCTGAGCACAGCAATCAAGGATCATGTTGCAAAGTTCTTTCTGTTTAAAAATAAAAATTAAATATTCAGTAAGCAGATTTTTATTCCACAGCTGCAGCACAATAAACTGTAGCTAAAAGTGCAGAGAGGCATTTCCCATTTGGTTTTTTTAAGTAACTGTAATGAATACAATAAAATATGATTGCGCCGGAGAGTTGTGCAAAATAGCAATAAATTGATGGTAACGCAGTACGAGCTATGTAATATTAATCATAACGTTATATTTGGAAGTAGTTTAACAAAGGTAAAAGGTGTAAGCACAATAGAGAATCATATATATATATGTTCAATACAATAAAGCACTCATAACATCAATTCTTACACAAAGTAGGTTACCAAAACATTTTGCTTACTATATTAATAGAATTATTCAACATTTTAGTGTAGTTTACATCTGAATTTTTAACTTTTATTGTACGTGTATGGTTGGCTGCACATAAAGTACCCTTTAAACTCTTCTGTGTCCTCCAACATGAACAGCAAGGATTCCACGACCCTGAGTTTACTATAATTCTTAGATATAACCAATGTCCCTAAAACCAGGTCTTATATTAGTGATATTCTGGTCTTAATTTTGAATGATTTTGAGATTAGCTTCTGGAGATCTTTGGCTGACACTCTGGGGTTGTCCATTAGTTTTCCAAACTTTCTAATTTTAGAAACATGCACAACGTGGATTCATCTTTTTTTATCCGGCTGAGGAAGCCAATTAAAATTGGCGAAACGCGTTCCGGTCTTTTAAGCTGATTTAGGCATTTAAATTTTGTATGTATATTTAATAAAATTGTTATTTTTATTTTTTACACAAATTGGTTCCAGCTTTTACTTCTCAACAAAGAAGGAGTGCAGTCCTTGATCTGCACAATGCGGGTTTATTGAGTCATATTCTTATGACTCCAACATTGTGAGTATTGACTCTTGAAATTTTATATTCTCATATTTATATATCCAAACGATACTGCGCAATTGGTGGTACCCCCTGTTGTGTTTTTTAGAGTAAAAGGAAAGGACATCAATAATAGGGGTGGATCGCCTAAATGGATCCAAAGACGCATTAACCTGGAGCTGGGCCCATAGCTCCACGTCTGAGTTTAAACATTAGCAGTTCGTTTTTACTAAATTTATTGTGTGATCTGCACTATGTCAGATTGTCTTTTACAGATATTACATTGAGACACTCAAATTATCTTCATTTAAAACCATTTAAAAGGTGATTTACTATTTCTTCTTTTTCAATAAGCGCTACATTCATATATTTTGCGTGGTTGTGATTTTGTTGTGGCCGAGTTCCTGAAAGTTTGCTAGACTGATATCAGTCAAATGTTTTTTTACAGACATTCAAAATGATAAACTTGTGAATTTTTGCAATAGACCATTAAATGATTAAGTCAAATTACAAAGATATATAAAAAACAAACAAACATTTAGTCTGTTTATAATATGACAACATAAAAGAACACATGGATCTTCTACTCTGTTCCTGAGAAACTAAATAAGGTGGGGTTTTTTTTGTGGCTGTAAGATATGCCCATAGACCTACACTTCTGTCTTGGATATCTATTCTTTATAAACATTCATTATCCAACAGCTTGGTAAGTTAATGCTTTTATATTAAGTCTTCATAGCAAAACAAAAAACAGTATGAAGATGAATTATAGAAATATCAAAACCAAGTCTACATGTGATATTAACCAAGTTAGTAAATACAAGGAATCTAAAATTAGTTTCCTGTTTATGGAAATGTTCGGCCAGGAGCACACATTTTGGAACTTGGTCTACGAAAGCCAAAAAGCTGTATGCAGGCTTTACAAAGAGTGACTTGTGATCACATACAGGTATCCAACATTTCCTGAATGTGTTGTAAATGCTGACAAACATTTGTGCACGGCACAATTCTACACCTTTTTATTTGTAGTAAAATTCCTACCACAGAAGACAGACTCTCTCTGCCAGTATTAAGTACAATAACTAATACAAGGAGAGGAACCGTGGATTATAGCTGCCCTTAAAACAGAAAGATGCTGCTACATAAATCTGCAGGTATCCAACACAATAGAACTAATCTGTACAAATGGACGGTCACATACTTAGATTTAGGATTTAAGTTTAAGAAAACTAGAGCCACTTATTCAAAGGAAGGATTTGTTGTGTGAATATTTGACTTGACAAAAAAAAAAAATATATATATTTTTTTTTAAACTAAATGACTACAGGTTCCTTTTTTAGAAACCTTGATTACTTAACAGGAAAACTAACTTTTTATTTAATAAAATAAAAAAAATCACTAGTTTTTTTTCCCAATTATTATATGCCCTTCTGGGCATGATATGTAAACTAGCACACTGCATGTTTGCAACTCTACAGATGAAGGAGAAAAAAAAAAAACAACCAAATAAAAACTAAGAAAATGCATAATAAAAACAAATCTCAGATTGAAATTCCCACTACTATATTCTTATTCTACACTCTCAAGAATGATTCCTAGATTCAACTATACTACCTACTTGCCCTCTCATGCCTTACCTTTTGTAATGCAGGGTGCTAGTGTTAGTATGGTTCCAGAGGCTACCTCTTACGCCAGTTGCTCTTAAAAGCATGCTCAATTTCATGTAGCATTTGTTATGTCTCTATAGCAAGCAGTATTTGCATATTTGTGATTCAGCATGTTTACCCATACATTACTTAGCCTAGCATGTCTCCTGGCTATACAACTCACGCATATGTTTGCACCTAGCCTGTATCCAGATTATTAGCTAGATAGACCTGACACGTTCCTATCCGGTTATCTCTATTATACTATAAAATTGTGCTATATCCTAGAAATGCTTGTTCTAGGATACAAAGCACTGGATTGTAAGCTCCTCTCTCAGGAGACCATCAGTACTGAAGACCTGCCAGTCAGGGCAGCTACAGTGAGGAAATCTGGATTTAAGGTAAGTAGCCTTTTAATTTAGAGTAGTAGTAATCTAAATAGACTTAAAAAAAAAAAAAAAAACCTCTAGAGTAACAAAGGTTTTCTTTTGTAATGTTGGACTATTTTTTTTTTTTTTTTGTAGATCTTGGATTGTTTTTTTTGTGTGTGTATTTTTCCTTAAATACATACAGTAGTAAACAGTTTCCGTTTATCCCATTTTTCTTTCCATTTATTATTTCCCCCCCCATACTACGGAGATAGAATAAAAACATGACATACACTATCCTATTAATCTGCACAGGTATCACAATACTGATACGGCTACTCTATAACCATACTAATCTATATGACTATATATAAACACATAAATAGAGAGATTTAAAGTATTACTACATTTTAAAAACCTATAATGTGCCAATTTAAATGATCACCAGTAAGCCTCATGAATGGTAATCACACAACGTAGAGGAAAAAGAAAAAAACAAAAAACACACAATTAGGAAGCCATCTGTGTCACAGAAAATAAATTTGGACATAGTTCAGTAGACAGATGCTCATAAAACATCATTTCCAACTTTGCGTACTGCGCCTTAAGAATAAAACAGCAAAGGCATGTAAAAAGGTATTTCACAGAGCAGTTTTGGCTTTATCTGAAAATTCCAGAATAACCTTCTGAGCCTCTGAGCAATCAGAGGTTACAAAATGGAAATAAAGACAAAGATTAACACAATTACACTTTCAATGTGAATATTACTCAGTGAATAGATGGTATGCTTTTCAACAAGAGTTGTAGTTCTTTGGTAGAGTATCAAATTCAAACCGCACACCTGTTCCGCATCAAGCAAAACCACTTACCGTTGTAATTTCTCCGCTGTCCAGTGTATATAGAAATTGTGGTGAAGTGTGAGTGTTGCTTTTTTGTTAGATCTGCGGTTCGAGGCTAGCTCAAAAAAATATTAGTACCTGATCAGGCATAGGATACAAAATTGCAAAAAATAGATAGCACACTAGGTTTCCTTTTAAAGAATACAACTAAACTTTTATTAAATGTTCAACGTTTTAGACTTCCTAATGAGAGATTTCAAGCAAATCATAAACGCTGAAATTTTATAAAAGTTTATTTTGTTTTTTAGTTATTTAGAGTGCTATCCTTTTTGGAAATAATATCTGGTTATAGTGAGGAGTACTTACCAACATTGGATAAAACTGTCAAAAAGAAAAGACAGGCAACATACATATCTACATCTATGTCTACCTGTAGATTAGTGCTACAATGTCATAAAAGATAATAAAAAAACAAATGTAATAATTTAAAAATCAAAAACTTGTTTAAACAATTAACTATTTATTAAAACGCTACCCCTAGTTAAACAGAATCATGGGAATTGTAGTCTAACAGCAGAAGGCACTCAGTACAATCTACATTGAAAGCATGTAAATCTCGGGCAAGTGTCCCTTTCAGGAAAAAATAAAATAAAATTAAAATCGCAGCTTTCAAACTGAAACATTAGCATTTCTATGAAGCTATATAGTTGGACCCTTTGAATATTGCTGTAGCCACGACTGATGAGCCACATTACCAAAACATGCCTATGTCTAGCCAGTATTTGAAGTTTAGGCAAGCACTTGCCAGACAGCTGAAAACATTTGCATGAAAACAAAAGCAAGAAAGGGCATTTTGAGATAGAATATCTTTACCTCTAAACTTCTGATATTCATTATTTACCATTTATCCAAATCCTTGTGGCCTGTGTCACACACCTTTCAAACTGAAGAGATATTTGGCACAAACCCAGCACTTTATTTATTTACTCCACTCACTCACAAATGTCAGAGAGGGTTTAAAAGTAGAGTCAAAGGCTGTCTTAATGGTAACATAAACCAGATGTATAGCTATAGTTCAGCTGTTGAAATTAGATTAACATCATTTACCAGTGAAAATCTATTTTATAACAATGGATTGCCAACCTCATCAGCTTCAGGTCTGTAAGAAGTTTGCACAGTTTTCTCAAAAGTTAACAAATATTCCATCCTTTTCAGGCACATACAGAAAGTGGTCATTTTGCACATACAAAAAAAACACAACCCAATGGGAGGTAAAACAATAAAACTTGTATAAACTAAATTATGTGGAACTACAGAATTTCATAAAAGATCATCGTAAGCAGGTTCTGTATGAAAAACAGAAATCCAGCATTTTATAATTCAGTCTTAAATGAAATCTTCAGGAGTTAAAGGAGCACTATAGTGCCAGGAAAACAAAACCTGGCACTATAGGGTTATTAGGTCCCCCCTATCTCGAGGTCCCTCTCCCGCTGGGCTGAAGGGGTCAATACCCCTTCAGCCACTTACCTTAATCCAGTGCTTGGGCTCCCTCTGCGCCGGTGACCTCCTGCTGATGTCAGCTCCCGAGTGGAGCTGAATGCGCACGTGCGGTCAGAGCCGTGCGCGCACCAAAACTGCCCATAGGAAAGCATTACTCAATGTTTTCCTATAGGGATCTGAACTAACGCTGCTAGAGTTCAATGCGATTATCCAACTGAGAATCGCGGAAGCGGCCTCTAGTGGCGGTCAGGCAGACAGCCACTAGAGGCTGGATTAACCCCGCAATGTAAACATGGCAGTTTCTCTGAAACTGCTGCAGGGTTAAAACTAGGGGGACCTGGCACTCAGACCACCTCACTGAGCTGAAGTGGTCTGGGTGCCTATAGAGGTCCTTTGATTGCAAAAAATTTTTTGGTAACTTTCTCAAAGGTATGTGTTAGGCTTATCTGTGTTTGTAGTAAAGCATGAGGTGAACAAACAGGCTATTAGTTAAATAGAGCGCAGTGTAACATGTTAAAGAGTTTAAAATAATAATTGGTCCAAAGAGTTCAACTATACAGCTCAGCTCAACCTATGCCCTCATGGGGCAGAACACAGTCCGGCATTATGGAGAGATGCCGTGGGCTTCCAGGCTTTGGGGTGGGCCGTATGACAGAGCCACTCACCAGGGTCGGGGTCCCCACCACCACCTCTGTTGTGTCCGAAGACCCAAGGCTAAGCCGTGCCCGCTCAAGTGGTGCCGGCAACTGGTACAATGGATACCGCTTCACACGTCGGCATTTTGAGGGCTTTATCATATCTGGAGTCACGGACCCGCACGATCTGGCATTCAACATTTTGTTGACATTATAACAGATATGTAAAGAGGTCTCCAATAAGTGTCAGTTCTCCCAGCGCTGTGGCTTAGATTGGTGCAACTCAATCACAAGTATGGTGATATGAATACAACAATTGTGAAATGGGAGTGAGGTGAATAGTTATAGGGTCATGTTAAATGTTGCAGGTAGTATATTTTTTCCCTCTATAGTACATTCTGAGATCTGTTTTGATTTAATCATATCCAGTAGTATAGTGTAGGGATCTTGGGAGATAGGGGAGATGTTGTAGAACAGAATATAGAGAAAGGAGAAGGAAGGGGGGTATATTGTACTAAAATAAATACATAAATGAGCAGTTCACTGAATATTAATAGCAAGCATTTCTCAAGACAAACTGGGGCATTTAGCCAACACACTTCTGAAAATACCTTGCAAACAATAACTAGCAATCTTTTATACCAATATAGAACGACCAAACCACAAACACATGCCTGCTGAACTATAGTATGCTGAACTATAGAGTAGAATCCTTCATATATCTTTGCAAACTGAGTAAAGAATTAAAGAAATAGGTTAACAGAACTATATCAGAAAAAAAAAAAAAAAATGTCGGTGAGAGCGAAGCATAGCTTACAAGGCTATTTGATAATCCCAGCAGGGATCTTGTAAAATTTTAAATATCTATGATGATACACTTCAGATGTGTTGGAGATCTTTGTTCAATTTGCATTATGACCTAAAAAAAGAAGATCTCTCCCAGGAGGATTACTGAAGCATCAGCTAAATATGTCTTAATGTATTTGAAAACCAGTGGTTTAAAAGATATATGGTATTTTCCTTTAATTGCCTAATCACATTTAATATATTTGAAACTCACTGGATATTTGACACGCAAAGAATGTACCCTTGCCGTGTCCAAGGCCATAGTTATGTACTTTGCTATTTATTATATCAGGAATAATAGTGAGACAGGGTTAACATTTCTACAGGAACAATACTGTTTTCGCAACAGTGTATAGCTAGATTCAGCAAACCAAACTGTCAACTGAAGGAAAACAGAGAATCTATAAAATAACATCATATACAGGCAAATAACATTTACTTTACATGGTAATGTACTTTAAGCAAGTTTTCTTAGCCTATAAGGGTGTATTTAAAAAAAAAAAAAAACAATATTAATTGACAACTACACATATTTAAATCTAAGCATCTAAACACATTTAGTATGCGCTAACCAAAGGTAATTTAAAAATCAATCATAAAAGGACGAAGCAAGATATAAAGCCATTTTATTTTTGTTGCAAGCACTAAAGAGCAGGTTAAAAGTATCCTCTATCTCAGCCTTTTAATGGGCAATTTGTGCCTCACTTGTGAGATTCATACTGGATTAAAAGTGGATGCCTTTATCTGCTGAAACAGTTGTATGAAATGAAAAGTGTCAAGCAGAAAAATATTAGGCAGTTAAGAGGGATATTTAAGATCATCGACAAGAGAACAGTGTCAAGTCAAGGAAATCTATTGCACGGCAAATGTAATGAGTAAAGAACAGACAAATATGAAGATTGTGGTTCCAAAGAAAGTTTTAAATGGATGCCCAAGTCCAGTCTTCAAGAAAGAGCACATAGAAAAACAACGTCCTGTAAGAAGGAACAATCTTTATCCCACCAAAAAAAAAAAAGGAAAAGGTTCTTCTGTGGCACTTTTTGCAAGGCGTATAATTTATTTATAAAGTATTTAACCAGGACGGATACATTGATATTCCTCTGGTTTTCAAGTATGTCCTGAGCCAACACACACAATGCATAAGGATATGATTCATTCTGTATTCTTACCGTTGAATGAACACACACACACAGTAGCAATGATTTCTATATGAATTACAGCTCTATAACTCACATAATCCGATAGAAAACAATTAGCTGCACTATCGCAGGGTTACAATTTTTGACTATTCTGTCTCACTGAGTGCCTGAAATAAAGAATACATTGTCATCGTAAAGCGCAAGTCTCTGAGGTAGCACTAGCGTATGTAGGCAAGTTAATTTAATGAAGTTTGCTATGGATGTACACAACAAGCAGACAAGACCAGCTGGAATCTTTTCCACATAAAAAGAAGCATGATCCATGAAAGCCCACAATACCTGAGAGAATTATGATATGAAAACAACAATTATTTTATGGAAACTTTGCAAACCACAGTTTGTTACTATTGATATTGCCATGCATACATAGTAGTATCAGTCAATGATCCTTGGAAGTCATGGGTTCTTAAGAAAAAACGGAACAAAAAATGCTAAGTCTGTCTCTGGTACAGAAAGCAATTTTTAAATAGGTTTTCAACCTAGCATTGATTGTACACTGAAAGATGCAAAAGGTTAAGTGACACTGTAAGCACAATAACCATTTTATCTCATTAAATTGGTTATAGTGCTTGGAGTCCACATCCTCCATTGGGTGTTAAACTAAATGCAAGCAGTTTAAAAGTGCATGTGGGTCCCTGGATTCCCCTAACCCCACTTCCCACTGGAGGTAAGGCAGAGATTACACACTTCCTTCTAGACATACCAATTCATACCTGAAGTGGCCACTGTGATAGGCAGAAAGGGGTCAACTGACACTCATAGCCAATCAGAGCCACCCATTGCTGCTCAGGTTAATGCTTCTTCATAAACATTTAACACTGAATGAACGGAAGGATGGATACATGGGACTCCAGACACTGTAGCCATTTCAATGAGATAAAGCAATTACAGTGCCAGCAGTGTCCCTTTAAAAAAAAAATTAGATATACCAAAATCAAAAAATAGATATACCAAAAGCAAATATACATCTAAAAAATACATGTCTTGGTGGAACTTAATCATTAAAATATAGTTGTGGCTTTTATTTTGCCTTTGGGATATTTTGAACACGTAACTTTGTTAGGTTTGCTGGGACTCACTTTAAAATAGCTAATAAACAACTGTATGTCAGAGCATGCAGTGATAGATGCAAATCAGCTGGCAGGAAAAAAAAAAAGATGTCGGAGAACAAAAAGACTCCGTTCTGGAATAGCTGCGGAACAAAATAAATATTTTTTCTAATGTATAAATAAAATAAAAATAATGTGTAAACAATGTAATAAATCAAGAGTTATGCGTCTTACTCATCTTCCTTTCTTCTGGTGTATATGAGAGTATTGCTTGTCTAGCTTGTTACACAAAAACAGACATTACACAAAATATGGGCTAGGTAAGTAATGCCTTAACATTTAAAATATTTTCCTTGAAGTGTTTTTACTTTGGAAATCTTACTAAAAATAAATTCTTCAGATGTGATCTAATACTACGTCACTACGGCATCCGAGGAAACCAATCTCTGAAAAAACATGTTCTAAAACATAATTAAATATGAAAGATGATTTAAAAATAAAATAAATTTAAAAAAAAAAAATTCCAGCTTCAAAACAGATCTTTTAGCGGACATGTTAGTGTGAATGAGGATTATGAAGATTTAGATGATAATTAGTTTCCTGTGGAATAATCCCTTCATACTATTCAAAGTTATAAACGCTGTTCAGATAGAGTAACAGAATAACAAGGTTCGCAAAATATTATAGTGAACTATAGATAAAAATGAAAGATTACAATTTAAACATATCTGGTGAAGACAGATTACAAGAAAGCTGCCCTCATTGCTAACGATACTTAATTTAAATAAAATAAGAAGCATAATTTGAACTAATCTTATTAAACTAAATTTGTGCTGAGTGTTCTATATTTAAGCTTATAGCACAAAATTAATCAGGTTTCACGTATGGCTAGTGAAATATGGTCTATTAGAACTATAAAAATGCAAATAACCACTTCACCCAGACATTACGTGACTTGCATTACATGTAATAGCATAAATCAGTATTTAAGACAGAGGTGATCACAAATGTAAAAATTCATTTTTTTCCATTAAATATATGAACTGCTAGTACACCACCAAAACACTGCATTTTGGCTGTGTAATTTCTCAGTTGATGGGAGGAGTTGCTAAAATATAGATTACATGAAAAGGTGTGAGAAGGAAATGTGAAAGGATTAAATATTAAAATATATATCTAGATATGTAGAATGAGTATTTCTTACTTTCAGCACTGTACATTCCACACTGAGTCATCGCTTTGGGACAGACAAAACTGGCAAGAAGTTAGTGTTTTAATGAAACTTAAATACCAAAGTTAATTGTGACTATGAGTAAATGGTCACTCGGTTTACTCTAATGAGAATTAACCATAGTTTAGCATGTTTTTCATTTTGTTTCTTTATTCCAAAGAAATATTCATCACGTATCCAAACATCTTTATGTGAACCCATCGACTGACTTCGCGGGCATCCAGCCCACAACATTTTTCTCTAGCTCCAAAAGACCTACAAATATACCGGGGTTTTTACCCACAACTTCACATCCAGTATCTGAGACAGTCGGAACGACTAGGCATACAACCCATATCTGTATTCTCAGGTCGGACTCCCATTGCCACTTTTTCTGTCATTTTTTTCTAATTTATAGAAAAAGTTTAATCTTTTCATTTTGTTATGAGTCAATAAGTCTCAATAAATTCTTAAATTATCTAGTTCTTCTGTACTAATATTTTTGTAAATGTATATCTGCACTTTCTTTTTCAACTACTTATATAAAATATCTACTGCCAGAGAATGGCTGATGATATACACTTGGATGCTAAATGATTCATATGTAGGGACAATGTACATGGAAAGCACGTGAGAAAATGTGGAAACGATTATTAACATATTAGCAAAGAGTTAAGAATAATACACACTACACTTTCTGTTATCAAAGGAATACAATTAGGGTAATTCAATACCATGTAAACTATTGCTCCTATATAATTAGGTTATGTTTTCTGTTAAAATACAATGTGTTAACCCATAATACAAGGCATTCAATTTCAAACCTTACACTTCTAGCCAAGGCCTTAAAACAAGCCACCGCAAACCTGATCGGTCCAGGACACACGCACCAAGGCTAAAATATAGGCTTGGTGATAGCTAGTGGAAATTCTGAGTCCTGCTAAAAGAGTTACTCCAATCTCTTTTTTGCTAAATGATTATTTTCATTTATAAAGTTCTACTGGGCATTATTCACTTGAGAGAGACGGTCAACTCTTGCTGTATTTCTATCGCTGAAGTTTTACTTCTGCATTATGAATTTTATATACATATATTCATTCATAACTGTGTGACCTACTTTAAATTTAGTGTTTCACTACCATAGGCAAATACTGTTTCCAGTGCGGAAACTACAACAATGCAAAATACACCTTAACCCATATATTCTGGATATGTTTTACTGTCAACATTTTATATAGCAGTCAGAATGATCAAGGCATAGATGTGCAAAAATGTATCTTGCTGCTGGTCATCTAGAGTTGCTGTTCCACAATTCTCCCACCTATAATCCTGATCCAGAACACATTTATTCCAGCTTTTTAAGAAGATACTGTTCACTAATACTAATATGATTGAAGACTATTAGATTTACAGAAAGAATCTCTACATTTCATTATTAAAGGGACACTATAGTCACCAGAACAACTACATGTTAATGTAGTTGTTCTGGTGAGTATAATCATTGCCTTCAGGCAATTTAATGTAAACAATGCCCTTTTTTTTTTTTTTAAGAGCGAAAAGGCAGTGTTTACATTGCTTTTAGGGACACCTCCAAGTGGCCACTCCTCAGATGGCTACTGAGATGCTTCCTGGGGCAATGCTGCACAATAGGCAGCACTGCCGTTCAGCGTCTCCACACGCTGCATGAGGACGCTGAATTTTCCTCACGGAGATGCATTGATTCAATGTATCTCTATGAAGAAGTGCTGATTGGCCAAAACGGCGTTTGGCCCTGTCCCCATCCTGCATCCTTGTCGATTTTAGCCAAACCAATACTTTCCCTGTGGGAAAGCATTAGATTGGCTAAAAATCGTCAATGCTGAAGATATCATCAAGGAGGCGGATTGGAGGCAGGGCCCCCATAATCCTGCAATGTAAAACATTACAGTTGTTGACAAACTGCAATGATTACATTGCAGGACTAACACTGCCACTAGTGGCTGTCAATCAGACCTCCAGAGGCACTTCCTGGTGGCTAGGTGACTTTTTGTCACCTGACACTGGACTTCGGTCATCCAGCGTCAGCAAAATCCCCATAGAAAGCAGTGATGTAATGCTTTCCTGTGGGGAAAGCATAATGAGCTTGCGGCACTCGCATTAATGCCGCCCCCCCCCCAATGCTGGGGGATGGAGAGGGGCACGAGGGAACTATAGTGTAAGGAATACAGATTTATAAACCTTACACTATAGAATCCCTTTAACGTACCTAAAATGTCTGGAACAGCAAGTTATATTCCGAAAATACAAGAACAAAAACAAAAACCTCTCTTTACAAATATTTATGGGGCATGCTAAAAGTTTAAAGGGGCACTCTAAATATTAGAACTATTAGGGCTTGTTGTAGTTCACACTGTCCTTTGAGAATATTACCTCGCTTATTTTGGTGCTGTTGAATTATGGGAAAAAGATAGAACACTCTCTTTCAGTTCTATGTGTTTACATATCAGGACATAATTACAATCATTTGCTCCTTAGGTGGTGTAAAAATTAGGTAAATACAACCTCCAACAACACATGACATAATACACTGTGTCAGGATTTAATTAACAAAAATAAAGCCAAAATGGAGAAGCCATGTAACACGATTGCCATTGACTTCAACTCTTACTATTCAATTTGAATCTATTTCTTTGTACTTTGTTATATAAAACCTGATAAAAAAATATTGTTAAAAAATAAACAAAAAAAGAGGCAAACTCTGGTTGCATGCAGCTTTCTTATTCAGACATTGGTTTAGATGTCCACTGGCTACAAGACTTAAAAGAAATCCAAAACAGAATTTGAGTAACAAACAATCACATAAGCATAATATATAGTGGACAGTATTTAAATAAATACTAAGACTTACAGTTTGGCTATCCGGAAAATCCATTTTAATCAACTTATGGGCGCATTCTTCAAAATCTAAGCTGGAAAATAGGGAGAGAGAAGTTTTATTGTAGCTGCAGTCGTGTTTCGGGATTGCTACTTAAAATTAAGTCAAGACATAAGAAAATGCACTGTAAGTATTCACTTTCAATAACACAATCTCTTTTAGTGTTTATCAAATATCAAGACATCTTTCATTCCAAACACATGGCAAATTAGTATTTATCATTTTCCTTCCAGTAGCTGTGCTTCTCATAACAAAGATTAATAAAAGTCATATATAATGTCCAGCCTATACATTACAGAACAGTAAATGTACTATTTTTACACATTCATTTGTTTTAATGTGAAATACATGACAGGGGAATATTACAGTTTAGGTGTTCTTGTCTGGGTACTAGACACACAGAGTTTGAGAAAAAATATGATTATTTTCTTGCAGGAAATTCTACATTATATAGGTGTCCGTCAGTATACCTAATATTACTTCTATATAAATAAAAGAACCGAAGCAGATCTGCGTTATTAATGCCCACTGTAATTGTCCTTATCCCTAGATATTCAAAAGTTCAATCTTATTTTATAGCAGCATCTGGGAAATTATTACAACACCTTTTAAAAAAACAAATTGTGTGGAAGGCTTAAATCCGCTTTGCTAAACATGAGTACCTTTCTGAGATACAAAAAACCCCAACACAAAATTACACATACAGAACAAAGATGATTGTCAAAAGCCAGCTTGTAAACTCAGTACAATCAAGTAACATGAGTTATATGTGAATAGAAGGTAGTTCTGTTTTTATTTTGGTACCTTATTAAGACACAGAGAAAGGCACAGTGTTACCTACTAAATTACGAATTGTAGTGAATTTAAATTCAAATGGCAAAGCTGCAAAAATAGCCGATTTCTAAAAAAAAGCTCAGCTAGCTTGGCTAGTTTTGGTGAATTTTTACATTTTGATTTCATTTACTATTACTACAGTTTAAAATGTAGTAAAAACACCCGTACAATGTTGCCTGTGCTGAATTTCCATTGTATTCATTTTAATTCTAAACTACTAGCTAAGCCTTAAAGGAACAAACCAGTGCAGCTCCCCTCAATGTAAACTCACTATTTATATAGAAGATATACACCCAATGAAAACAAACTGCGTGTTTCCTTTGGAATATATAAAAACAGATTGCAAAATGTGCAGATTAATCTCTGCAGCCTCTGCAAGCATCCCCGTTTTTGGCTTAGTAACCAGCGGTAAATTTTAATTGACCTATTGCTTGAAGCAAGTGCAAATTTTGAGACCTACTTCGCTATTTACCAGACTAATGAATGTTAGAACAAGTTCTATCACAGTAAAACCCACATGGCAAGATTTACGAACAGAGAGTTGCAAATAAAGCAAAATACCTTCTATATTAAAATCTTAAATACTAAATATTTCTAGGGTCTATACTTCCCCCTTTAACAGAAAATTTGTAAGAAGAGAAAAACAAAAACAAACGGGTTATAAAGTACAAATATAGATGGCAAAAGTAGTGTATTAAAATGCGCTCTGCAAGCAGATGAGAATAGCTAGGAAAGTTAATATTACTATCAAATGTATTTTAGGATATTTGAAATTGCCTAAAGGGGAAGCACAGGCTGTTAAAACATTAAGGGATTTTAAAATGAATCAAATACATTTCAGAAATGCACCAACATAGCTATAGGAATTGGTAGGCTCCATTAAACATTTGTAGGTATAAGTAAATTTTACGGTCAGAGAAAGTCATTACACCAGCATTATTTTGATCGAAGCTTTTTGCTGATTACACATATTTGGATGTCAGACATTTTTGTATATCTAATACGTTTGTTTTTTTTGTGGAGTTCAGATGCTCAGAGTCTGTTGAAGTGATGAAATTATGCTTGTATAGCCATACTTACTATCTTTCACATATACATTTCTAAGTTTTGGTGTTTTTTTTTGTTTGTTTTAAACACGGTAAAGAAAAATTTGATTCTGGGGCAAAAAACAAAACAAAACTATTTACAGTTAGAAAACTGAATGTGTTACCTAACCAGGCATAGATCTAGAATAACTATAGAAGTGATTAGTAACTATGTTTAGCTTTATTGTTAAAGGACCACTATAGTGTCAGGAAAATATACTCTATTTCGTGGCACTATAGGGTCCTTCTCCCGCCGGGCTCTAGGGTGAGGAAGGGGCTAAGCATTCACCATTTCATTTCATCGGCTGAATGCGCGACATTAACGCGCGCATTCAGCCAAATCACAGTGAGAAGCGCGGAAGTACCTGTCAATGAGACAGCCACTAGAGCATGGGTCGTCAACCTGGTCCCTACCGCCCACTAGTGGGCGTTTCAGGATTCAAGGTGGGCGGTAGGGATTTCCTGATTTTGAGAGATTGGGTGCGCGGGTGTGAGCCGGCGGTACCCCTGCGACCGGGTACCATTTGCGGCTGCGGCCCCAGCCCGCGCGTCAAACCACCGGTACCGCCGTCCAAGGGGCCCATCAGGTGGCCCATGCTGTCAGGGCCACCCGATGGATGTGGATTGTAAGGGGGCCTGGTCAGCGCTGGGCGCTTTAACAGAGCGACCGGGTCTCCTGTGATTTTATCACAGAGCTGGGAGGAAGTGACTGCACGTCACTCCTCCCAGCTAACACACAAACCGCGGGGGAGGAAGCAGAGGGAGTCAGAGTGGGAACTCTGACTCCCATACACCTGAGCCACCACTGGACCCCAGGGAAAGTCACCCTCCTGCACCTAAAAGGTAGGAAACAGGAGGGTGACTAAAATATTTTGTGTGTATTTGTTTGTGTGTCTGTCTGTGTGCCTGTCTTGTATGTGTGTGTCTGTCTGTGTGCCTGTCTTGTATGTGTGTGCCTGTCTGTGTGCCTGTCTTGTATGTGTGTGCCTGTCTTGTATGTGTGTGCCTGTCTGTGTGCCTGTCTGTGTGCCTGTCTGTGTGCCTGTCTGTGTGCCTGTCTGTGTGCCTGTCTGTGTGCCTGTCTGTGTGCCTGTCTGTCTGTCTGTCTGTGTGCCTGTCTGTCTGTCTGTATGTGTGCCTGTCTGTCTGTCTGTATGTGTGCCTGTCTGTCTGTCTGTATGTGTGCCTGTCTGTCTGTCTGTATGTGTGCCTGTCTGACCATACACACACTGTCCCCATACACACACCGACCCACAAACACTATCCCATACACACACTGCCCCACAAAATTGTCCCAATACACACACTGTCCCACAAACACTGTCCCCATACACACACTGCCCCACAAACACTGTCCCCATACACACACTGCCCCCAAACACTGTCCCCCATACACACACTGGCCCCACAAACACACACACTGTCCCCCATACACACACACTGTCCCCATACACACACACTGCCCCACAAACACTGTCCCCATACGTACATTGCCCCCCATACACACACTGCCCCACAAACACTGCCCCACAAACACTGTCCCCATACACACACACTGCCCCCATACACACACTTCCCCACAAACATTGTCCCCATATACACACTGCCCCCCCATACACAGTCTCCCATACACACACTGTCCCCATACACACACTGCCCCACAAACACTATCCCCATACACACACTGCCCCCTATACACACACTGCCCCACAAACACTGTCCCAATACACACACTGCCCCCATACGCACACACTGCCCCACAAACACTGTCCCCATACACACACTGCCCCACAAACACTGTCCCTGACATACACTGCCCCACTCACACACTTCACCCTTAACACACACCACTGCTCCTATACCCTATATCCCAGCAGACCCCAGGTAAGTTGTCAAACTGTTCTTAAACAGTATGACTACTTACTCTGGGGTGGAATCCTGGCACTACTGACACCATAACTACTACACTGAGCTGTAGTGGTTATTGTGCCTGGATTATTTATTTAAATAATCTACAAGTGCCCCTCCCGAGATCAGGCTCTGGATCCGCCACTGCGTGTGGTATGAATGTCATGTGTTATTGGTTACTTGCAGTTACTTGTAATCACCTCCAGGGAAGTCATACGTGCTCATAATAGCATTGCAGCCTGGTCAGCTCAGATATATCATGAAATAATTGTTGAGCAGACACACATTCATGTATTATGGGATTGCACTAAATTTGCATTAATTGCTTTTTTGTTTTGTAAATAAGAAATAAATATATATATATATATATATATATATATATATATATATATATATATACACACACACACTATATCTATGAGGCAATGAACACATAATTGTCATATGGTGATTGTGATTAATCAGTATTTACCATTTCCAAATGGTATATGACTATGGAAGCTACACAATTAATGTATACTTTCCTGTGCAAAAAAATAGAACCATAGAGAGAGAAAGGTTAAAAAAAAAAAAAAAAAAAGGCAGTAGAGAGTGATAGAGAATATCAAAATAGTAAGAAATTATCTCTCCTCCCCCATTAGTAATTAATCATTCTACAACAATAATATAAACAAGGATAATGTGGGCAATAAACTATTGTCCCCAGCCTTGTGGTCCAACACAGACCAAGGAAGAGGCTTTAGATGATGCCATGTCTTAGCCAAAGTCCCCCTAGCTGCTAGACTGATTTTGCAAATAACTTTGCTTATCCAAGTTGTAAAGTTATCAATTGGCTTGAATAAAATTAAAGTCCAAAGAGAAAGTTGAAAAAGTCACTGAACAAGCTTCAACAGCAACCGTTCCATCCTTGGGTCAACTTCAGCCCTACCACATGTGAAAATATTTACCCAATTTTACAGCAAATGCTCCGACAAAGATCTGAAGATACACTGCCCATATTATATCATTTGACTCATTGACATTTTATAGAAATGTTCTTCTAACATAGCGCACAATGAGACCCATCTTGTATTGTAAAAGGTTATGTGCTATGTTAGCGTGGCTAAAAATTATATTAAATTTGGTATTCTATGCTTACATGAAAACAGTACAATTTAAAACTTCTTGCACCGACATTTACCAGAGAGATACTTATTCTTAATGTCTTAAATT